AGCTATCGACAGCCAAGAGCTAAGCTATATTGATAGTCTGATAGCTAAGCTATCAATAGCTTAGCCACCCGGCTACACGCTATAAAATTTCACTCATAGTTCTAGTTTATTCTTTCATGTAGAGGAGGAGGAGGTAATTTTTACATCGATCTCTCATCGACCTCTCATCGACCTCTCATCGACCTCTCATCGACCTGTCACCGGCCTCTCAGCGACCTCTCATCGATCTCTCAGCGACCTCTCATCAACCTCTCATTGACCTCTCATCGACCTCTCATCGACCTCTCATCGACCTCTTATCGACCTCTCATCGACCTCTCATCGACCCTCAATCATAGAAAAAATAAGCAAATATAAGATTATTATAAAATCAGTTATTAATTTTGGTATTTCAAATGGTCTTRGCCGTGGAAATAAGAATTGGCCATGGGCTTCCTGTGTTTTTCAATAACTAAATTGGATATGGGCTTCCTGTGGATTWGTGCATTCATAAAATTTGATGCCGTGTCTTATTTATCACGTGGCAAAAAAAGATTGCAGAAAAGAGATTTGACAGCATTAATAATCTTGAATGCCAAGGGAATTTTAGAATCATTGTTCTATGGTCCAGTATGAAATAGAACGATTGCTGTTTATATAATATAGAACAAGATAACAGAACTAATCATTTTCAGCGGATTATTGCATAATTAGGAAGAACTTAGTAGGTCTTATCGTTTATCGTTTATGAGTCATTAATTGCATTTTGTTGGAWACAATAGTCATCAAATACTCGAAGTATTTCTTGAGTTTGATGAGGAAACTTTAGAGCCTTGGAAGATTTACGCTGGGTCGATTGCTGAACTTTGGCGTTTGTTTTTAAAAGAATTACGGAAGGATGTTATCAAGAATTTGCTCAACACATAAGATTGTTTCAAAAAAAAGAACATTTAATTTTATTAGTCCTTTGAATTCATTGACGGTAGCGTGATAGCCTCGAGTTCCTAACTGGAATAACGTAGCCATTGCGTTTCTCAAAAGTAAATTTTTTAGGTCTTGCTTGCTTGTTTGCTTGGTTAAGTTTTGGAGTTAAAAATTCAAAATCCCCAAAAATGTCTAGGCTCGGCAGTGTTTCGTACAGTAGCATCTGTCATCGCTATGTAAACACACTGCCACCCCACCTTTCAAAATAATTGGATTAAGCGAGCAGACGAGAGAACAATGGCAAGCAGGCTAGTAGCCTACCCCGGGGCTCTATATGGAACTTAAGGTGAATTTGATTAACCATATTAACTCTGGACGGTTGAATATTACTACCGTAAGGAGCATCGCGCGGTCGCGTTGTTGTTGGTATAGTACAAACAGAGTCAAGTACGGAAAGGCCGTTAAAGAAGTAACGCTCATCGGCTATTCAAACCATTTGACCTTTGAAAGAAAAAAACTGCATTATGACAGCGAAGGAACACGGACACAAGATAAGTACAAGTATATACGTTTAATTTAATTCAAATAATCGAAAGGAA